TGTTAGCACCCCTTTAGTCTACCAACGGTTTACACATGGGAGATTTAAGGAAATTTAAAAAGTAGATTACTTCAGCTTATAAGTTATTTAGTTGATCACTGTAGTAAAGCTTTTAAGTGTTTATGTTTTCATTTTTTGTGTAGCAGCTATTGCAGTAAGGAGGTTATTCCTCCACTGTCTCATTCCTCCACTGCATCATGGGAAACTGTTTCTTTGTTTCGGTGATGTATTTGAATATAGTGAACTGTTATGCAGAAAATTACTAAGTCTTTGAGTACTTCAACTCAAGAGATTGCAGGTTCTGTCTTAACGAATCAACATCATAGGTCGTAGGAAGAAAACATTCGATTTCACACTACAAGCCCCATAACCAGATCCATATCAGGGAACCATAACATTCTGTATGGTGGATATAAATTTATCTTACAACCCTATAAGAATGATTTTTTTAAGAGATAAGCTTAATTCTTAATTTGATATCTTTGGTTTTTATTAGTACAAATTAAAGAAGGTAATCAGTCTCAAACTATTTATTGTCTTTAATTTCTTTAATATATGGGTTTAGATTACCTTTTGATCTTCTTGAATTGACTTTATTAGTATCAATAGTTGTTTTTGATGCACTAATTTGAATATTAAGATCAATTAGAGTTCTTAGCACTTAATCTTGAAATTTGAGGATTTTATTCTCGATTTTCACATATCTTTAAATTTTGTCTTTAATCTTTGTATCGTATTATTTTTTGTTTTTATTCAAGTAAACTCGATTTTTATGAAGTGGCATTACAATGGTTCTTATCAATTGAATAATCTTGGGAGGTTCTTGATCCACCAAAAAAAGGGTAAGCTACATATATAGCCAAAAGAAATTGCTTGAGAATTAAGATAGTTTCAAGACAATTCAGATTTGTTCTGATTCTTGGTTTCGTAAGACTCGAGCCAAATCAAGAAGAGGGGGAAAATTAAAAATAATTCTGTCACACAAATTATTGATTTTTTCTTCTTTCATCACCCAATTCATTTGAGTTTTGGTAAATTATTTTGCTTTCTACATCTTACTTCTAAATGGTTGTTATTATTAGGGTTTATATATAATCTCTAAAGGATTCAGTTAAAGGTAGTAATTTGAGTGAAAAAAGGCTAGAGAGTACAAGATCAAAAGGGGGGGGGGGGTGAGACATACTTGTTTCTTTGATATTTTCTTGAGATTTCTCAAATAGGTAAGGAACTCAAAACAACAAAATCCTAGCCAAGGTGTTCTGAATGAGTATTGTCTGATTTGGTGCGATAGATGCCACCATCATAGTTAAGTAAAGAAGGACAACCCAAATGAATGTACAACTTGGCAAGAATGAGGTGGACCAAGGGTAGAGTTATTTTTCTAACTAGAGTTAATATGTTGTCTAAGCTATGTGCCATGAGAAATGACAGAGTTTGGATATGACTTAATTAGCACTTATATGGTTGAGAGATTGAACTTACCTTGTATGGAGATTATTGCACCCTGCAAGTGGAAAGGAGTAAAGAAAAATAAAAGGGTGTTATTGTCGTTCACTATTGGAAGTTATGACGACAAGGTTTGGAATGATGTTGTTCTCATGTATAATTTGTCATATCTAAATGGGAAAATCATGGTATGGTATGCTAATAGCAGAGCTTCATACTACAAAGAAAATAATAAATATTCCCTCAAGATGAATAGGGAGAGATTTGGTCTCGCATCTTTGACTCCTTTTTACAAATTCATGAGGATATAATTTTTTTATAGATGATAGATGATGATGAGAGAGAAAAGATTAGAGGAGTAAGGGAGTGCATGTTAACATTCCAAAAGAGGAAAAATGAGAGGATGTGTTGTGTGAAGAGAATGGGATGTCAAATGAGGAAAAAAGTGATATCAAGAGAAAAGAAAACTGAGATCATGATCACAAGAGTAAAATAAGAGGGGGAAGGTCGTGAGATAAAGAGAGAAAAACAAGAGCTTGAGTGAGGCTATTTCTTATACTAAATCCAACATTCTTGCTCTCTTTCTAGTTGTTTCGACTCTCTTGTAGGTACTCATGGGAAAGTTTGCATTGAAGAACCATCATTAGATAAACTTAATCCTAAGAGGGTCAAAACTAGATACACCATTGCGCAAGTGCATGTTGATGAGAAGGATAAAGGTAAAGAGAATTATTTTGGATTTGTCCAAAATAAGACTCGTGACAAGAAGTCCAACAAGATAGATGTGGACCTAACACTAATGAACAAGAAAAAACAAGGTGATGGTGTTCCTTTGCTAAACAAGACCAAGTACAATATCTATAATTAATTTATTCATATTTTTGGTATTCCTAAAATACCTAAGTTTTTCTGGAAGTAATGGACTACACTTTTATTTTCTTATATTGGTGATTATATTAATTTTGAGGATGATGATATTTCACTATAAAATAAGTCATTACCTATTACCTGTAAGTTCAAGCATAAGAGTAATTTTTTCCTTTTAAAAATTGAGCATGACATCATTTTGATTAGGCATGATGTTTGTGGGAGGGGACATGTGAATGAGTTAGATGATTCCTATTTCCTCCTCTCTTATTCTTCACTAGTTGAATTGAGTTTTTGTGTGATAACTTCTTGAAATATGATTATTTCCGTGGGATAAGACATTATTCTTCAAGTCTTGATGATTGTGAGCTTAAAAGGTTGATAACTAGTGATGAGAGATACATGGCTACTATGATACTAGTGATCAAATACTTTTGTCGGACCTTGTTTTAAGAGTAATTACTTAGAAATTGTGAGTTTCTATTTGAAAATTCAAAAATTCTTTTAACCTTCTTGAAAACTCATGTGCTTATATGAATAGTTTTTATGTGGAAGAGTATGTGAGTAGTGTAATAAAGGATACTTGGCTATATCATTAAAGTGTTCAATTTGATGATTGTTTTAGGGATCTTGTGCCGTTTTTTGCATGCCCATTGAAATACTTAATTGATAGAACTAAATTGGAGTTCCATGTATCATTGCATCTAGACGGGAATTTTGTTGTGCTTATATAAGGAAGAGAATTTTCTACTCGGATGATGATGTCCTCGTGCTTTATAAGGATGTATTTATACATGCTAGGCTTAATTTGGTCAAGTGGGCATGTGGTCACTATCTTGCTTTTCCTACCATTGTTACTTTCAATTAATGGATGTTGTTTACTAATGCATGTCTTCTTATTTTGCAAGATTCAAATTCGAGGAAGAATTATTTTTTAGCATCCACGGTAGTATACCTCCATTTAAGTTGATAGATTTCAATGGGAAGCAAGAAGATGTTTATCGTGGCACAAGAACTCAAGAATTATAAAGAGATGAGACTAAGTGCAACACGTACTTCATGATCCAAGTCCAAGAAGAGAAAGATTGGAGTCACATGAAGCCCAAGAGAAAGGGCCCACATGGGCCCAAAGGAGTGCCCAACAAGGGGGTTATTGCATCCCTGAAGTGCTGAAAGTTAAAGCCCCCAAAATGGTTGAAATTCACGCCCAAAGTAGGGCTGAATTTAGGCATGTGAATTGGAGGAAATTTGGCCACTCTTTTCTTTCATTTTTACGCTAATTTTAGGAAGAAGTTTGGTATTATTTTTTACATGCTTTCCTAGTTGAAAATTTCCTAATTAAAAGTTGTCTAGTTTGGTTTTAGTATTTACTATTTCCATAAACTAGGATTCAAATCTCTTGCAATTTTGGATAGGCTTTTCCTATATTATGGTTGGACTTTGTTATATTTCATTAGGCATGATACATATTATTTGAGAGATTTCTCTTTTTTACACCTTTGTGGGATGTGATTATAGATTTATTTTACAACCTTATACGAACAATTTTTTAAGAATTAAGAGTAATCTTAACTTGATATATTTGGTTCTTATTCATAAATCAAGAATGGTTATTAGTTGTATACTAATTATTCTCTCTAATTTCGTCCAAATAGGGGTCTAGATTACTTTTGTATCTAAGTTCTTGATTGACTCTATTTATATCATATTTAGTTTTAATCCGCTAATTTTCACTACTAAGATCAGTTAGAGTTGTTAATCTTGAAATTTAGGAATTTTATTCTCAAATTTTGAATACTTCAAAAAATTGTCTTTAATCTTTGTATCTTTGCTTCTACACTATTTTCTTCTTTCTATTCAAATTACCTGATTCTTATTTCTTATCAACAATACTATAAGAAGATTCACGTGATAAAAAGCCATCATGAAAGAAGTGGTCTAGCACGTGAAGTTTATGATATCACAAGAAAAATCCAAGAATCTCTGCAATATAACTTGGCATTGGCCATGGATGATATCAAATCAATAGGTAATCCCTTTGGAAAGAAGAAATGAAAGCAGAACAAAAGTTTTGTGTGATTATTTCCAATGGTGAAATTGGGGGTTAGGTTTACCGTATATACGAGCATGGGTTTTGGACTGGTCTTTTTGCCATGTGGACCAATAAATTGTGTCACGTGTTTAACTAATAGGCCCACATATTCTATATCCGGTTAAAATGAGGGGCAATTTGGTGCTTAGAGATAACGTTAAAGGGAATTATGGCTCATTAGGTCGAAGGGAGGTTATTTTTTTAATCAATTTTCAATACGTTCATGGCAATTTAAACTCTTTTACGGTCAATCTATACCACAAAAAATGTTATCAGGGATACTCTCACTTTTCTTGAATCTTGACACCACTTTTCCGTTCCTTTATCATCTAAAAACATAAAAGTTAGCATGCAAATGTTGGTTCCCTCACAAATACTTGACAATGCACAATCTCTACTCTCGCAATAATTGCCTTCCATGGTAAAAACAAACTATATAAAGGATAAAGAGGTGTATTGGTTAAATGAGAGTTGGTTCAGCTCAACATATATAACAATAATGGACAAATTATTTTCTCAAAACTCATCGGAATGTAAGTATTATGCTCAACATCTATAGTCATAGTTTTAGCTCCAGAGTAGGAGTTGTACTTACTTGCTCAAGAGTCAAAAACATGATAACGTTCCACGATCCTAGTCGAAAAAAATTGGGGAGGAAACCCTTATAAAAAGCAAGTGGTCCCTGCATTAGCCATGTTAAGCTACATAAGCATTTTATATTAATATCTACTAATCCGAAAACCAACTTTTCTTGATATTATCAGGGTAAATTTGAGATCAGTGATGCAACACAATGCAAGTTGAAAATACAGGATCCCCAGCAAGCAGTTTGTCAACTAGTAACTAAAGGGTATCCACTGCTCTAAGCTCCCCATTGATACCAGTTGATACACCAAGGGATTAAGAAGTATAGGTCTAGACAGGAGGAATTCATAGAAAGAAGATAGAAATAGGAGCAAAATATTTGGTTGATTGTATAGCTGTTTTCTGTGTTATAAAAAACAGTTCATCTATAGCAATATTTTTCCTCATACATAATTTAGCAATTAGACAAAAATAGGTCGTATCGGTCATCCGCTATTTGTTATCTCTCTCGCTACCTACTCCTACCACTTTTTTTCTTCTTTTCTTTCTTTCTTTTTCTTTATGATCAGTGGGAGGAATCCACTTCTCATTGCTTGCAGAAGCATATTTCAACTTCTGATTATTTTTTATGAAATACGATTCTTTCACTAAAAAGCATCAAGAAGATGCATGGCAAAAATACAAATGAGTGATTTCAACTTCAACTTCTGGATTCTCCAAATAAAAATAAAACAATCTTATGTGTGATGTTCAAGCTGAAATTCGACGTTTTCAGCTATTTCAAGCATGAGTATTGTTTCATACTTTGACGTATATTCAAAATACAATTACTGAATGGAACACTTTAATTTAGACTTGCGACAATTCTGTGTCAAACTACTGAAGTACGTCTTACTAATACTTTTCTACCTACAATAAATATGTTATGCTGACAAATGACCATGCGTTCTGAAACAGAAAATGAATGACTTAACAAAATTACCTCGTACTTCAATGTTCTGAAAAAGCAATCGAAGGTGTTCCTGTATACTGAATCTCCCATCATTCTTGACTTGACCTAAAAGACAGCAAGCAAAAACCTTTTCATTTATAAAAAAATATTTAATAAGCAACACAGTTTTAGAAGTTATATTTTGATGAAGTAAGTAGTTTTATAAATGGCATCAAGACGGTGCATATGGAAAAATAGTTACAAAAGAGTGAGATTGATAGCTCTGTTACAATGAGAATTGAGATCTATGCTAAGGATAAACAGCTTACGAAGTCCAACAACTTCAAATGAGATTCTACGGGAAATAAACTATCCCAGCTAAACAAATCTAAAAGACATCTAGCCTTAAGGGAATGGTTTGGAGTTGATATTCCTTCAGAACATCTTTTGTTCCTCTCATCTAAACACACCAAAGAAAATTCAAGCAGGAATCATTTTCCAGACTTCTCCTATGGATTTATCAACTTGCCATGAAATCCGACCAGTGTAACATTCTTGATACTGTCAGGCATGACCCATCTTAAGCATAAGATTGTCATGAACATGTTCCAAATATAAGCAACCATTGCACAATGTATTGAGCTACATGGATATGAGTTGAGTATGTAATACATTATAATGGTTCTCTTGATGCAAGCTAATAGGCACTGGGTGTCGGCCAAGTCACGATCCATTTTGGGGCATGACAGTTGGAGGAGATGTCTATTGGTTTCTATGTTCTGTTACACACATAGCTTAACAGTGATTATCTTCCTACTAAGATTTCTTGAGTCAGCCAGGCCTCATGCAGTACTATCCAGCTAAAACTTAACACTTTGGGGTTGCTTTAATTTTTCCAGATCAGTTTCCATGGCCAAGTGTCCATTTGATTTTGGGCACACAAAGTTGTATATCCTGCCTTCACTGTATATTTGGCATCTGACTTTCCTTCCTATCTGATTTTGTCTGCATCTTGCTCATTGTTGCAATTCTCCAATCTAGAAAGCATGTTAATAAGTCTTCAAGTTCCTAGTCTTCGAAGTGTCTTCTGGAGATTGGAGCTCAACTGTTGTTGTCTCTGCTCTGGGAGATAAGGAATTGAGGTTGCTTGATATAGAGTAGAGAGCTGGATCATTCTGGAGAGTGGTGTTACCAATCCATCTGTCTTTCCAGAACTTAACATGTAACCACAGCCAGCTTGGTATTTACGATGCTGGTTGAATTCTTCCCAGAGTTTAGCAATGTACTTCCAAGGGCCAACCAAATGCTGCTCTGGAGATTTTGGTGCACCAGTGTGACTGGATTCCATGTTTTTCAGAGACCACCTGTTCCATAATGCTATGTCCCTATTGAACCTCCATAACCATTTCATAATCAGACATCTGTTTTGGATAGTCAAGTTCTTGATGCCTAAACCACCTAGGTGCTTAGGTAGGAGTATGACTTTTGGGCCACTTGACCAAATAGAATTTATGGAACTTGGTGTTTCCTTTGCATAGGAAGTTCCTTCTAATTGTGTCTAGCTGTAGCTATGTCTGGCATAGGGTCGAGAGACATGTAGTGTGAGGGAATATTATCTAGGACATTGCTTGTGACTGTAAGCCTGCCCCCTCAAGAAAGGTATTGCATCTGCCATAAAGCCAACTTCTTCTCAAATTTCTCTATGATGTTTTCCATACCTCCATACTAAAAAATTTCAGCAAGAACTTCATTTTTTCGAAAAACAAAGAGTAAGAATAACATAAATATCAACAATAACATGGAATTAAGCTTGATTGGATTTTAAGTCAGTTCGAAGGGGATTTCCACTCTCTGATTCAAACAAAAACTTTTGGTATGGTTTACGAGAACCTAATGGAATTCGAACATGCAACTAAATATGATAGATATAGCTAAGCCCTAAGAGTATGATAGCAATAGACACATGATCTCAACTACAACTTACTTAGTCACTCACTTTCTTCTAAAATCAATTGCTTGAAAGATAAAATGCACTGATATCTAGCTAGGCAATATACAACACAAACACTTGTATCAGTTCTACCGTACTTTATGGTTTCCTTTATTCTTCCATACTAACAGTGCCCAAGGGTTTATATCAACTCTGCCTATATGAGCTACAAAAAACATAGCTGGTCTGACGTTCGGATAAAGGCGGAGCTTGTAGTAGTTTAACAATCAACATAAACATAGTCTAGTATTGATAAATCCTTTAGTCACCAAACTCAAATTGAGACCCACTAGAGCGAACTGAATATTGAGAATATGTAAACTGACTGTAACTAGCTAGGAACGAAAAGGTATAGATAATTAAGTTGCGACACCAGTCCTTTAAACCTTCTTTTCTTTTCTTTTACAATAGTGGAACGCAAGCACCAGCTATGCCACATTTTGGTGCATTTCCTATATCTTATCTAAAAAAATTCTGGTCTCAAAATGATAAGAATTTCCATGATTAGAAAAAAGAGTAATTTCTCCGAAAAAACAATTTAAAACAGATAGAATCAAATAGAAAATGCAGGTTCAACAATTTAAAACAGATAAAGCCAAAAAGAAAATGCAGGTCCCATAGATAGATAATCTGTTATTTTTAATTCACTTAACAACACATTTAACATACTGAGGAACAGGGAATTTTACCACATCAACTGGAGAACCAATAGAAACTGCAAAGAATCCAGCACCTAAACCAGCTATGAGATGAGTTAAAACAGTGTCGGTAAATCCTGGAAGTTTTAAAATTATCTGCACATGATATAATTTCAGAGAAACAGTGTATGAAATAGTTGCAGAAAAGTAGGCGAACATCAGGTGAATCAAAATATGATTAGAATGTACCTCTTTGAGATGATCATAACTGGCCAGTTCAGCAGCATTAATAATAGCATTCCGTGCAATATTTGGCACAATTCCTGTCCACAAAGCTGCCAGCCCTTCCTATAATTTGATCAACTAAAATATTAAATGATTGTGCATGAATAAATTTGTTGTGCATGTTAGATCCTCAATCACCTGTTTCACTATGGTATAGTATGCATTGAAAGCACCATCATAACGCCTAAGTGTACCAGCTTTACCTTCAGCCTGGAGCCGAACTTTTACAAGATCAGTTGGATTAGCCAGAGCAATTGCGATTGCACCTTTGCAAATTTGGAAAGAAGACGTGGACGTCAATACAATCATCATAAGTGTGATGAAGATGCTAATATGAAGTTTATCTCACCAGTAACAAGAGCAGCAAACACTTTAGTGAATAAGGAACCATCTTCAACATAATAGCTACGTGCAAGGAAGGCCTTGACCTGATGGAATTGGGATGAATCAAAAACTGTTTCAATTTTAAGGAAATAGGAGCATAAATTCCAAATGAATACTAACAGGCTCATACAACCCAATCCTTAGGCCTCCATATATACATTGTCGATGTAAGCCGGGTATAATGCCTTTCCAAAGAGCTAATAAACCTTCTTCCCTAGCAATTGTAGCAACTGTACCTAATAATCCCTTGTACTTGCCGGAACCTTCCGCTGCTCTCTTTTGTAACTGTAGTCTAACTTTAGCGGTGTCTAGAGGTAAAGTACACAACTGCAAATTCAAGATCTAATCAACTATCTTCTAAATTAACAATATCAATCACTTCACTTCACAGAAAATACCTCAGCAAAACAAGCAGAGATAGCGCTACTAGCGAGGATTCCAGCGATTGAGATCTCAGATGTCATTGCCATTGAAAGAATGTTGAGAAAATTAAGGGAAAGGAAGTTTGTTTTTGTTTTTGGTGACACATAACCAAGAGTTGGATCAATTTTTCTTAAATATAATTAAGTAAATATGCTATCAAAATTAACATTTTTAATTTTTTTTTAATTTTTGTAAAATGAAAAAGGATCAAAATTGTGTCTGAACTATCTAAAATAGATCATTTATACTCTCGTTATATTTTGGGATAAAAAATATCCATGTTATTATCCTAAGAGACCACATTTACCCTCAAAAATTGACACTTCATATTTTTATTGACTTGGCAAGCTATGTGGGACTAATCCTTCCTTCTAAGCATTGTCAACTAGGATTCATTACAAAAGAATTAGACCTTTAGTGGTGACAATAGTCGCCACAAGAACCCAAAAATCGTCACTAAAAGTTTTTAACATTAAATTCTAATTTTGTGTTTTTTTTCTTCATTAGTTTTTAAAAAACGAAAATGAATATCGATTCAGTAGGAGTTTGAAGACATTGTTTTATTTTTATGTTATATGAAAATGTATAAAATGTACAATGATGCATTATATAGTAGGAGAGGTGAATCGAGAAGTAATTTTCATGATTTTTTTGTAATAATATTAGGTGTTTTTAATATTAATAATGCAAGTAATTTATTTTAGAAAATTAGGTTGCAATCGAAAATTAATTATCATATTTTTTGTTGAAAAATAGATTTTATTATTAGTCTTCGCTAAAAATAACTCATAACCTTTAGTGGCAATATTTTGAGATTTTGTGGCAACTTTATCGCCATTGAAGATCAAGTTCTTTTGTAGTGAATCTTAGTTGACAACGCTTAGGTGGAGGGATTAGTCCAATGTGGCATGCCATGTCACTAAAAAATTGGGGTGTTAACTCTTGAAGGTATTTGTGGTCTCAGGATAACAACGGGGGTATTTTTTATCCCAAAATGTAATAAAAGGTATACGTGGTCTATTTGCATAGTTCAGGGGCAATTTTGACCCTTTTCTGTTTATAAAATACCAAAAAGCATTTCAAATCAAATTATTTTTTTTAAAAAAAATCTTTTCATCTTCTTCTCCCAGCGTTCTCTCTCTTCTCCTTTGAGATTGTTCTTCTTCTTTTTCCTTAGAAATCCGAAAATCCGACTATCTCTCCTCCACTATATTCCTCTCCGACTATCTCGATCTTCATTTTTTTCCTCCTCATCTCGAGTCGCTACTCGGTCCTCTTTTTGAACTGAAATCGTGTTCGTCTTAAAATGAGTAAATTATTATTTTGAAAGTTTTTATAATTTTTGAAGTTTTTTTCTTAGATTAATGAACAATAAAACGTTCTATAGATGTAAAAATTGAATAATGATGTATGGTGCCTATTATTTATTTTTTTTGAAAGAAAATCAATCAACCCTAAAAAATCCTAATTTTGAGGAAATGTATATGTATTATATTGTTAACTTTTCAATGAAAAGTCGTTTTTTTTGCTTTTCTTGTTCTTTTTGTGTCCATTTTGTTGATATGATTTTAGAAATATAGTCTTGCTGAGTTGTCCAATATATATTTCATTGGTTGAAGATGTATCGTATGTTGCCACATTTTAGTAATATATTGGTGCATATTCCAACATTCATCGTACGTTGTAACATCTCACTTATGCGTTAGGCAACAAAATGGTAATCTATGGCGACATAAGATTCATTTGTGGCAACTTAAGATTCATCTGTGGCAACATAAGATTCACCTGTGGCATCTTAGGATTCATCTAAGGCAACATAAGATTCATCTGTGACAATTTATGATTCATCTGTGGCAACATAAGATTCACCTGTGGCAATATAAGATTTATCTGTGTCAACATATGATTAATCTGTGGCAATAAGATATATCACTGGTATTGCCCAACAAGAAAGCAGTAGATTGTAACTATCACATTATTTTTTTTGTTTTACGACTATCGAAATGCGATGTTATTATATTTTCTGATTGATGATATACCATGCAAAGATTGTGGACTTTTTGTTGATGCATAGACTGAGTTTTTGAGTGAAAGATTACAAGTATCATCATGTAAAATTAGTGCTGACACCCTTCGCTTGAGATATGCTTCACTCCTATGGAAGCATGGAATTATAAAGGCTCGAAATGGTTATGTTAGTAATAAAGAAGACCCAAAGATGCCTAAACCTAAAAAAGCAAAGATCGATGAAAATGTTGTGTTTACAACCATTGATTAGATAGGTGGTTATGTATATCATATCATTGTGAATTACCTTTTTGTTGATAAGTTGTATAAAACAATTAATGAAGTGTTAATATAAATGTTTTTTTATGATTATTTCAATTTTATTGGAACAAACAATTATGATGGAAAGGATCAAAGGTATTGTCTGTGGCAACATATGTAACTTCTGTTGTAAAAAACACCACATAATTATCTGCATGTGTACAAACAGAATGGATACATGTTGTAACATATTTCACAGAATGGTGATATATAGTAAGATATGTCACAGAAAAAATATATGTGGCAATATTATACTATATAACATGTCACAGAAAAGGTGTTAAGTGACGAAAAAGAATGTATATATGTGGCAACATATGTCAAAGTTTTAATGCTCAAAATTATAAAAAAAAATTAAATGGTTTTAATATAATCCTCCCTTCATTTTCCTTTTCTCCTCGCTCCTATAAAAGTAGTTTCATATTTCAATTTTATTTATTTTTACTAATTTCAATTTGCTTGGTGATAATATTAATCATTGCTTCTCCGCATGTGTACCAACAGAAAGGGGTCATGTGGCAAAATATAACATAGAAAAGAGATATGTGGTAAGATATGACACATAAATGAAATATGTTGCAACATTGTACTATATATATAGCATATGTGTGTCCCAACAAAAAGTATTATGTGACAACATATGTCAGTTTGAATTGTCATAATTAAAATAAAATTAAAATGACTTGAATTTTCATTTTTATTTTCCCTCTCTCCTCTCCTCTCTCTCCTCTCTCTTCTCTTCTGTAAAAGTCGTTTCATAATCTAAATTTTATTTACTTTTACTAATTAATTTCAGTTTTCTTTTCTATAGTTTCATTGTTCCTGCCTTCACAGATTATTGCTCTGGTGATATTTTCTAAAACATTAGTCGTCATCTGTTGCGATCCTCTTCTACACCAAGGCAATGTTGTCCTTATCTTTCTATTTTATCGTTGATATATCTTCTCAGATATTATTTTATTAGGGTTTGAAATGCATGTGCTTATATTGCTTACCTAATGCACTGTTTTGACTTGTTTTATCAATTTTTTGGTTGATTTTGTAGTTGTTATTTTTTTGAATATTTTCTGATTTCAAAAAACTTCATTGTAGTACGTTGTATATTGTTTAGGGAGGATTTTTTTTGTTTGTTGTGTATTGTGTTGTGTATTTCATAAAACTTCATTTGTAGGTCATGTGTGGCATTCAAATATTTTATTTTTGTGGTTGCATATACAAATATAATGGCTCCTATCAAAAGAAAATTTGATACATCTGACACAACAAAGATCAAGAAGAAGGCTAGTTCTAAAATTGCTAGGAAGAGGAATGAAAGTACCACTCTTTTAGAAGATCTTGCATCTGAAGCAGTTTCTTCTTCTTAAGTAAAAGTAGAATTTTGTCAAAAAGAATATGAAGAAAGAGAAGAAGTGGAGGAAGAAGAGGAAAAACAAAAAGAAGTTGAGGAAGAACAAGGGAAAGATATAGAAGTAGTTAATAGAGAAGTAGTTCAGCCACAAGAAGAAAAAATAAATGAAGTTGAGGAAGAACAAGGGGAAATATAGAAGTAGTTAATAGAGTAGTAGTTCAGGCACAAGAACAAAAATTAAATGAAGTAGATTAAGAAGAACAAAAACTTCATGAAGTTTTCAATGCTACTGGTGATGATGGGATTAATATCATCCATGTAGGCACTTTTCCTGTGCATCTATAGCCTAATGCTAATGGTGATAGCATTATTAGGCCAGTCCTAGAAAACCTTTCATAATATTCAGGGATTTCCTCAAGAGAAATCATTTGGAAGATTTTTTCAGATATAGTTGTTTCGGTCATTTTCTTGATTTACCCATCGATACAACTACACGTTTTCAAATGACCATTGTGTATGAACTTCTGAAAAGAATGTTTATTCTTGAAAATCTCAAAAAGAAGAATGAGATTGTAATAAATTATTATGGCATGCTAGTTTTCTTTGGCAAAAGAGAGTTTGTCATAGTTACAGGGTTAAAATGTCATCCTTCTCTTGAGTTCTTCCCTGAATACATTGTCAAAAAAGAACCACGAAGAAGAAAGAAAGGAGTTAAAGAAGTAGCAGAAGCAGGACAACAGTGACTGCCATCTGAGAAGCAGGACTTGATGTCCCTTGTTGGCGAAAGATTCAAAAATTCTGACTTAGTAAATTTGTTGGAACACGAGGATACACCAAGGAAGCACAAAGAGCCATTGTACTTACTTTTGTTTATACATAATATACTTTTGCCGAAAGATCTCTACAACAACATACAATTTAAATGGGTGAATTTCTATCAGGATATTGAGGCATTCAACAACTACCCTTGGGGACATGACAACTTTGAATTAACTCTCAAATATATGTTACAACCTTTAGGAGAAAAGACCAATAAATTCTTTGGCTTTTTATGGGCTTTCATGGTAAAACTAAATGTTCTTAATATTTTTATTTTATATTAAGTAATTCAAAATTTGATTAGTGACATATTTTTCATTTTTACAGGCGTGGGCATTTGAAGTCATTCCTTATTTAACCCATCAAGTAATTGCAGAAGAACAAAAATCATCTCCAAGGATATTTAAGATGGTTGAGACCAAGAACAAAAACTACCAAGGAAGGGCATATTGTAGATCTTTTTAACCCTCCTCTTGATGCAGTAAGTTATTATTAGTATATTACGCTCTTATATTACTATAAATGACTCTTATGTTACTACAGATGATTCATATGTTGCAACATGTGACACAAATAATGCTACATATGATTCGTCTGTTGCAACATGTGACACATATATTGCTAC